AATATAGATGGTGAACTAAGGCGCCCATGCTGAGATCAATCAAAAGATTTCCACAGATAAAACCTGTGATAAAATAAAGTGTTGTGCACATGAAAAAACATACAAGGTGTGCAAAATAATGAGCTGTAAACACAATCACTAAAAATCTAATTTCATCTTTAACATGTCAGTTTCAAATCATTTTGGAAATGTTTTCAATATTACTATAAGAGGGGAAAACCACTCAGTCCCTGTCTCCCAATTGTTCTCCTGTGTTGTCACCCTGTTACACCGAATTCAGATGGAGGTTATAGGTGACCATTTCAACACACATTACACAGTCTTGATCCGCTATTGTCACCATCAGGAAACCCCCCCCCACTAAGAAATGCCATGCAGCCATCACTGGAGTGTATGTAAATAGGAAGTGGCTAGAAAGACACTTCAGGAGATCAGCAGAACTGAGATGTAACAAAGGATAAAAAAAAGGTGAAATAAGTATTTTAAGAAATAAATGCAATGTTTATGATACACAGTGATTTAGCAAACTACATTTAAATTATCTACAGTATGTTTTACATCTATTATCCACCACTAATATTATTATTATTAAACAGGATTTATAGGACAGCTAACAGTTTTCACATTGCTTTACAATATATAAACAATATACTATTTACAGCAGGCTCATCCATTGTTTTGAGGGTTGGGGCAATTTTCAGTCTGAGGTGGCAACGGGTAGCCAACATCCCCATTGCTGTCCCCTACTCACTATTGTCTCTTTTCGAAATTTCAGGATGAAAAACAAAAGGACTTTATTGTCTCTCACAGAACTTCAAGAGAAGCTGACACTCAATATAAGTTATGAATAACAATTTATATACATGTAGTGAGCCACAAATGTCTCATTTGAACTTCAATAAATGATTGATAGACCAGTATGGGGAGTTTCACTACTATGAGTGGTAATTGTATTGCTTTCTACATAAAGGAATTTCATCTATAAAATATACAGCTTCCTACATACCTCTGCTGAACACATAGTGGAGATTCATCAACGGAAATGTCAAAGAATCTTCTCCAAAGACCATGTCCTCCTTGTCAGAGCAGTACAATTCAAGGAAACTTCTAGAATTAAATCCATGAATCTTGTAGAATTTCTTTGGTATAGAATCCATCTTGCAGCGTCGATGGGTCAGGTGTCACTTCTTTGGTTTCCACTTTCCAATGTGCTGAACTAATCTCAGAGTTCACTTTATATTTCTCAGGTGAGTTCAATGTTGTCATAATCTTGTTTGTTATATTCATATGACAGTCACAAGGGATTCAGCTGACGGAGCTGTTATTACCCCTTCTCAGTATTGTCAAATAAACCCTCTTTATTCTACTTATTATTCATTATTCTCTCTTCTCTTCTTGTCTACATGTCGGTAACTTCGGTCATTTAACTTTCAAGCAATTTACCAACTTTAACAGCAGAGTGACTCTCGTATCTTCAGTTGGGTCATACTCGCGGTGATATCTGGGAGTTGTCTTTATACCCAGCAAATGCGCCTCATTATAATCCTAGCCATGAGCATGTGCTTGTCATGGGAACACAAATAACTGTTTTTTGGTTTTTCTATATACAAAATATTTAATAGTTAATAGATTAATGAGCCATTAAAGCTCCTTTGATCTCCCTTCATTATAATAGATACTGTAGCCCTGTGATCATCAAGTGGGCAAGTTCAGACTTTTTAAAATGTATTTTTGTGAAGATTCTCAATTATTCAGGTCTTGGTACAGTTAGTAGCAGTTGGTCACATGACCAGGGTTTTCAGATGGAACCAGGTGTACCCAAAACCTGGCCATACCCAACACCTCTGTTGTCTTCTCTTACACAAAGAAAACCAGACCACACTAGATCGGGATTTAGTGGCTGTATCAGTCTTTGATTACAAATTTCAAAGACATCTTAAAGAACAATTTTAACAATTAGCATAAGGTTGAGGTTGAAGACACTTGAAAATGAACAAACTCTGTGTACCTGCAGAACTCATATGATAAGCCCCCACCTCAGGGAAGATTACACAAAGACTGACCACAGACACTTACCGATCCATCAAATATGAAGTCACTGCAAACTGGTTGAACTGAAGAATGGACGCCATACCCAGAATGGGTCCCTAACACTGGCGGAACTACCAGGGTCGCAGCAGTCGCAATTGCGACCGTGCCGTGGCGTTCCACCTGTAAGAGCACCCCCGAGATCGTGCCGCTCCTTCCCTGCCGCTCTGCCACCCGCAGAATGTACGCAGGAGAGGCAGGAGATGTGGCAGGAGAGGCTGTCCCTAGTCCCGCAGAATGTGCTGCGCCCAATGGCCGCCGAGACACGGAAGAGGGCCCAGCATGAGAAGGAAGGTAAGTCTGGAGTGGGAAGGGGAGGGCAATGGGTTGGGGCAATATTCAATCTCAGGTGGCAACGCGTTGGGTGCAGCAGGGTAGCCAACATCCCCATTGCTGTCCCCTAATCCCTGTTGTTTCTTCTGCAGGAAATTCCAGGATGAAAAGCAAAAGGACTTTATTTTCTCCCACAGAACTTCAAGAGAATCTGACACTCAATAGAAGTTATAAAAATACTTTTATATATCTGTCTGTGAAGGTTTCTCATTCATCCAGGTCATGGTAGCTTTCTCACTTCAGAGAGACTTGTACGAACATTCTCTGAGAATAAATATGGTGAATGTCGCTCCAATCCACATAATCTGTTACTCGCAACCAGCATATACATGATAGATTATATACAAGTTTTGAGCCACAAATGTCTCATTTTAACATCAATAAATGATTGATAGATGAGTATGGGGAGTTTTATTTACAGCATGTGGACATTAATATTAATTTTGATAAACGATTGACAGACCAGTACAAAGATTTTCACTACTATCGGTGATATTGTTAATGTTTTTACATAAAATAATGTAATTTTTTTAACTTAAAGATTCCTACATACCTCTGCTGAACACATAGTGAAGATTCATCATTGGGAATTTCAAGGTATCTTCTCGGAAGACCATGTCCTCCTTGTCAGAGAAGTAGAAGTCAAGGAAACTTCTAGAATCAATTCCGTGAATGTGGTAGAATTTCTTTTGTGTAGAATCCATCTTGCAGTGTCGCTGCGTCAAGTTTCCACTTTCCAATGTGCTTAACTAATCCCAGAGTTTAGTTTTTATATGTCAGGTAAATCTATGTTGTTGCCATACTTTTGTTTGTTACAATCACATGACAGTCATGGGGCATTCAGCTGACAGAGCTGTGATTACCATCTCCTTGTTTGTAAAATAAACATTTGCAATTCTATGCAATATATATATATATTTCCCCCTATTCTCTTCTTGTCTACATGTAGGTATATTTGGTCATATAACTTGTTGTATTTAGGTTTTTAAAAGGTTATGAAGTTCATAACACAGAAAAGAGCAAAAACAGTTATTTCACCATAAACCAATATTGTTGGGTGTATTTATTACAGGTATTTATATAGCGCTGACAATTTTACATAGTTGCACATTCACATCAGTCCCTGTCCTCAAGGAGCTTACAAGCTAAGGTCCCTATATTACATGCATACATAGGAGGGCCAATTTAGACAGAAGCCAGTTGACCTTCCAGCATGTCTTTGGAGTGTGGGAGGAAACCCACAGGGAGAACATGCAAACTGTGTGCAGATAGTGACCTGGCCAGGATTCAAACCAGGGACCCCCAGTGCTGCAAGGCAGAAGCGCTAACCACTGCGCCACTGTGCTGCTGGGTATTTAGAAGTAGCGTGATAACACTCCCCTCATATAGCCACTGCACAATGTACAAAAATACCATCAATGGGTTTTTCTATGAGGACCGCTGGCCATCCTAAAAGGTGAAGGGTAGATGCGGGGGACCTATTAGGGATTCTGGATGTGTGAACAAGACTTCTCAGACATCTATCTTCCTGTGGGGCTAGAACATTCAGCAGCGGGAAAGAGAGCTTGAGCCAGGCATTATATTATTAATATATCTTCATTTTGTCCTGGACATATAACAACAAGGGGGAGTTTCGTACTATGAGATTAATGAATGGGACTTTATATAGGCATTTGAGACCTATCTGACCAGTGACGGACCTAATAACCTAATGGGTCGACCAAAAGGTTGTACCTCCTCCTCATGGAACTGACACGTATTTGATTGTGCCTTTCTGCAAGTGTTCTCTTTTATCTATGTTGATTTTTGATACCCTCGTTAAAAAATGTTGAAATAAAGATTACATAATAAAAAATATCAAGATGGGAAGTTTAGAAGTTTTTTGTTGTTTTTTTAAAAAATTTATTTATGAAGATTTTAATTTATTCAGGTCATGATAGAGATAGTATTAGGCAGTCACATAGTAACAGTATTTGAGGTTGAAAAAAAAAGATACAGGTCCATCAAGTTCAACCTTTATGTGTCTGTGTGTGTGTGGTGCGTGCATGCGTGTGTATAGGAGTCCCTGCGTGGTCTTAGTTTGTAAGAGTACCTGTACCCCTGTGTGTTATGGTCTCTTATAAAGGTATCTAATTAATTATTGAATGAACCAATGTTCTCTGCAGATATCACTGCTTGTGGCAGAGAGTTCCAAAATGTAATGACCAGGGTTTTCAGATGGAACCACGTGTACCTACTGCCTGGCCATACCCAACACCTCTGTTGTCTTCTCTTATATAAAGGAAACCAGACCACACTAGATCGGGATTTAGTGGCAATAGCTGACTTTCAAAGAACAATTCACAAATAGCATAGGATTGAGGTTGAAGATCCTTGAAGGCACTTGGAAATGAACCCACTCCCTGTAGCTGCTGAACTCATATGATAAAGCCTGCACCTCTGGGAAGATTACAGAAACACTGATTGCAGAGACTGCTGCTCATTGCTAGAGCTCTCCAATGTATAGGGGTGTATGGATTTTCATGATTAGAGAGCTCTGGATCTAATTTTGGATAGGGTGTCAGACATCCCCAGAGAGGTCACTGCTTCCACACCCAGAGAGCAAGGGTCCTTCTCTGCAGTATGCCTGCGTCATTCAACCCCATTGCCTCTGAGCCCAGGTTGTCCTGGACCGGCCCCAAGCTGGTGACTGGATGATAAAAACAGAAGCAGCACAGTTATGAGCTCTTCTCTTTGTCACTCTGCTTCTCCAACTATCAGCATGCTTCTGGTCAGCATATGAATTGATTGGCCCCTTCTGTTGCTTGCTCCTCTCACACTTCAGCCCAGCTTAGCAAGAGACTGCAAGATGCTGCTTATTTTTAACAAATGCATTTCATGATGTATTGATTACAGAGTTGCATTATTTTTTGTCTGTTGTATCTGTCTAGATTCTAGCTTTTTTATTTTTTTTTCTTTGGCTTACAGTGTTAAAGAAATGTTGATTCTCATCAATACATCAAATACTTATTACTCAAAAAATAAAATGAAAAGCTCTTCTGACAATGCTTAATTGTAGGGCTGCGGAAATTAACGATTAATCGTTTATAGATCAAAGTTCTTTTGATCCGTACTCACCTCTCCGCCGGCTTCTGGGTCTTCCGTCGGAGATCCGGTGACGTCACGGACATCGACGTCACCGGACTCCTTCCCCTTCCCCAAGTGGCTGTCGGCTAATGAAGGGAAGGGGGAGGAGTCCGGTGACGTCGATGCCCGTGATGTCACTGGACTCCTCCCCCTTCCCTTCGTTACCCGATGAAGCTGCTTGGGCCGGTGAGTACACATCCCGGCCGGGAGAGAAACACTTTTTACCTGAAAGGTTTAATCTGCTCAATCGAACAGATGAAACCTTTCCCTGCAATCGTTTTTTCTTTTCTTTTCTGACA